CATAATGGATTGATCATTGATCCCTCTGCAAAAGGTCAAGAGTGCCAGATGAATTGCCTTCAGCTCTAGAACATTTATGTGCATACTCTGCTCTATCTCTGACCAGCGGCCTCCTGTTGATCTCTGGCCGTGTATTGCTCCCCATCCCTTTTTTGATGCATCTGTCTGGAGAATTACATCTGGATGAGCTGCCATGATTGGCTTCCCGTTGAAATTGTTGAGGTTGGTCATCCACCACTTCAATTCCTCCAGACAATCCGAAAGCAGAGTACCCATTGACTCGTAACTCTGGGAACGCAAAAGCTCCCTGCTCGAATGCATCTGCAGGTAACGACAATGCAGTTGAGCTGGTAAGATTGCTGTCATTGAAGCGGACAGTTTTCCTATCAAACTTGCCAGTTGTCGAATCCTTACCTGTTCCTTTCTCATCATGTGATGACAGGTTGCTACAATGTTCTCTACCTTCTCCTCTGGTAAGATCAAAGTACGATCCACCGTGTCTATCTGAAACCCCAGGAAAGTGATCGACTGGGTTGGTGACAGAACTGATTTCTTCCAGTTTATGAAAAAGCCTAGGGACTGGAGAAGAAAGAGGAGGGCGTCCCAGTGTTGATTCAGCAGGGTCGGCGATTTCGCCATACACAAGATATCGTCCAGGTATATAATCAAACGGATGCCTGCTCGCCGAGCCAAACTTACCACTGGGCGAAAAAGGTTTGTGAATGCTCTTGGAGCTGGGGCAAGTCCAAATGGCATGCATCGGAACTGATACAGAACACCCTTCCAAGAGAAGCGGAGTAGCTTTTTCATGTGGGGTGCCATTGGGACGCTGAAGTAAGCATCCTTTAGATCCAACTTGCAAAGGTAGTCCCTTTGAGGATCAAGTCCCTTAGAAGGTGTAGTCCTTCCAACTTGAAGTGTTTGTAAGGAATGTGAGTATTCAGGGCCTTGAGATTTATGATTGGCCTCTGCCCCCCATCCTTCTTGGGAACCATGAACATAGGACTTAGAAACTGATCCGAGTCCATCGAAACAGACTGGGGAACAACCTCTATCACATGTTTGCAAAGCATTGATTGGATCTCCTGGCTCAAAGCTATCTGTCTTGTGAGCGTTGGTTTTGGATTAGGTTTTGAAACACAATTCCGACCGGGCTGACCGGCTCTTCCTCTGCCTCTGGAAGAGTTGCCTCTGAAACCTCTGTTGAAGGAGGGCTTGATGTGGAATGTGCCCCCAGAAGATTGTCTTCCTCCTGAGGGCATTTTCTGAAAGGGCTGTCTATCAGGGTGACCGGACCCTTGGTGTCCTTAGAAAGTTTAGCCAGAATGTTTAGCCTCCTGTTGTAATTCATGGAGACACTGGCTTGACCGATAAGACAGGTAGTTTTCTCCTGACCAATTCCAACAGTTTAAAAATATCTAAATCGGCGGGGGATTCACCTCTGCGGATCTTATCAAGATTATGCCACAAGTGACATAGTGGCCCCGTGGAATTCAGAATCCGCTTCTTAATAAACTGAAGGGATTGATCAAACTTCTTCTCAAAAGACTTTCCCTTTGCCTCAAAGAGGTCATCTAGATAGGGATCTGCAGACATTCCTCTGAAGGGACAAGGAGATCTTCCAGAATATTCTCCTCCAGTTTGGAATCCTGGCAGAAGACAGTGAAATTTCTCTGAGTCTGTCGTGAGAGATGATGCGGGAGACACCATTCTGATGGGTCTTGAGCATCAGCTAATGAGAACAGGACGTAATCATCGAAAGTCTCATTAATTACCGGTTTAGACGGAACGACCCCCTTATCCGCACGTTCATTCGTAGCAGGCTCAACGTAAGCTTCGTCTGAGCATTCATCGCTTGAGGAGGAAGATTCTGAATCTGACTCAAAGTCAGAAGCGGAAGCCAAACGTGAGTATATTCGAGCACGTTTGTGCTGTTTTGAGTGGCTATCCGCCCCGAATCTCGCTCGTTGTCCGACCCCGATGGTTGGGGTTGATTGGGCTTGTCCAAACCATCCACGTTTTTTCGACATATCATCAGCTGCAGATTTATGCTCCTCTGCGGGCACATTTTCTGCTTAGATATACCATCTGGGTCCTGTATGGACCCTTCCATGGAAGAATTGTGATTCATATCAATCTATGCAAATGAAAAGATCAAAACTTACGGAACAGCCGGCTCACGTGTCTATCTAATAGAGGCCATGATGAAGAAGGGTTTATGGGTAATTTGCCTCGCGAGATCTCGCATAGCGAGACTTCGCTAGCTTTAACTATGGCCTATCATGATGAAGATACCAATATCACATCTACTATGTTTATGACATGAAATTGCACAAAGCTATCTAAGATAAGCGTTATGACTGTCTTCGGTTTGGTGGGCTCAAACATCGAATGGCATGGCCAATGAGAGTGCAAAGTTGCGTCCGCCTCCAATAAGGTTTCCAGTATCGCATGATCGTGTATTCGGTTCTGATCCTGACTAGATTTATCAGCAGCTCATCCCTTCAGGCGGGTTTCACCAAAATACTACATGTCTTAGGCTTGCATCAATACGCGCTCTCTGGCCCTCATCAGGCTGACACGCCGTGTACAAACTGACATTGTTCAAAGCCGTGTTAATACCATTCATATGTAATGTTCCATGCATACTGCTCAAAAGACGTTAAGGAACACTTGATTTGTTCATATGATTATATTTGATCTGTCGTGGCTGATGGGTATAAACTAACTGTGACTGTCGTGTATCTATGTCAGAGTGTTACTGTTGAAATAATCGTTGCCCTAAAACAGCTTTGTAAATTGGGGAATTGATTTTCTTTCTTCAGTCTCGAAAGGATAGCCCCTCGTCAGTGTCAAGACACGGATCCGACCTACCGTGTCTAAGGTTGATATTTCGGGGGCTTTGACGTTTGAACCTAGTGGGAATGAAAGACTGACTGACTGACTGAGTTTAGTTTTACGCCGCTTTTAGCGATATTCCAGCAATATCACGGCAGGGGACACCAGAAATGGGCTTCACACATTGTGCCCATGTGGGGAATCGAACCCGGGTCTTCGGCGTGACGAGGGAATGAAAGAAAACATGAATATATGAATGAACGATCGCGGCAGAAGAGTACCAAGTACCCATGCATGTCGAGTGATCAGAGTAATGAGGACTCTGTGACTACACTGTGTGACTGTGATTGTGTATGATCGTATGCCAGCGTGGCGGATCTGTGCTCGTACTCTCAACCACTGGTCTGCCTCAATGAGACGGGGTTTTACAGTCGGCCGAGAGATGGCTGCGATGCGTAAACAACAAACATTCTGAGATTCAATTGCCCTGGTTTTATCTGGAATTCTACCATGGCTACGTGAAATGCCTCGAATTAGGTAGGTCAATCAACAGAATCACGGCGCTTCACTGCGCACGTATACATCACTGTCGCACTACTTCAGCTATGCCAGTAGTTAAATTTTGCGTTCGACTTCAAATGAAATTTAAAGACTATCAAATCGGTCTAACATTCATCTAATTTCCAAACACAGTACGAACAGAACAGAACAGAATTTTATTTCAGTAACAGGCCTCCGGCCCAAAAACATGTACATAAATTGATGATAAGTAGAGCACATATATATTTCATTTAGATTTGTGTTTCTTGTCAACAAAGTATAAAATAGACATACATCCTTGATAATATTAACATTTTACTCTGTAATATTGATATAAAATTAATAATTGATGGACATTTACTAAAATATTTTGATATGTACTTATTTCTGATATGAGAATATGCATCACAGATATAAAACACATGCCATTCATCTTCAACAACAAAGATACCATTTAATTTACAAAACAGGCAATGCCTTTCATTATATGCAACATCAGTGTATCTGCCCGTTTCAACTGCTAGTTTAAAATTACAGCACCGAAATCGGGCATATATAGTTTTAAATATTGAGGGATATCATTATTATTTATCAAGTAGCTCTCAACATTTAACAAAGATTTGAATTGCTTATAGTAAAGACATTTACGGTTACTGTCCAAAGATGAATGCCAAGATTGAAATAAATTATCACGTAGTCTCTGTTTAAATGATTCCATAAATATTTTGTGATCACTAATTTCCTGACTTATCCAAACAAATCCAAAGCCAAATTGAAAAGAATATTTTTAATTCTAGTTGCCCATGAGTTTCGTCCTACCCTGTCTAAAGATAATAGCATAAAATAACATTGTTTTGGTAATCTATAGTCAGGCATGTTTAGAAGTCTGCACCAGTATTTCACTGCATTGGTTGTATAAGTAAACTGTAAAGGCACTCTTCCACATTCACCCAAGACCATATTGTTACAGGTGGATTTCCCAAGTTTCAAGACATATTTACAGAATTTAATATGGACAGATTCAATGGTATTACAGTAGGATGTGCCCCAGATTTCAGACCCATAACAGAGAATGGGTGATATCATACAATCAAAGATTTTAAATAAATCTGTACAATTAATGCTGCCAAGTTTCCTTTGGAAATTTTAACAGAGAATATTGCCTTACTAGCTTGTGATGCAAGGCAAGATGTAGCCTCTACTCCAGGATAATTTAGGAGTGAACATAATTCCAAGGTACTTGTAAAAGGATACAGTGTCAATAACATTGCCATTATAAAACCAATTTTCATATGAGCGCAAGGGACCACCATTTCTAAAAACAATAATCTTAGTTTTCTTTAGATTCACACTCATACCAGTTTGCTCACAAAATTTACCAAGTACATTGATCTTTTTTTGCAGCTGTGCACAGGTGTCAGCTATTGCTGACACATCATCAGCAAACATAAGAGAGCAGAGATTGCTAATAGAAGAAGAAACTGTAATACCTTGACCTCCTTCCAACTCCATAAGACTGCATAGCTTATTTATGAAGATAATAAAAAATCTGAGGGCTCAAAACACAGCCTTGGCGAGTACCGATGTTACAATAAAACTATTACGTTTATCTCCTAATTCTCTATATAATGTTTCTTTTCAACAGGAAAATGGCGTTCTCTGAACCGTCGACACTGTCGAAAGTGGGGCTTGGAATTGCCTTTGCTGCCGTGTTGTTTGACATCGCTGGATTTCCAACACCCTACTGGTTGACGAAGACGTTTGAGGTTACCGGCGCTCTCACAGAAACAAATGTGGGTTTGTTTCGAGCCTGTTCGTGGGGCAAACTCTGCACCGTATTCAGCACGTCGGAATGTGAGTACTTGTGTCTTTGTAAGTAGACAAAACAGTTTCTATAAATATAAAACACAATATGCATGCATTTCGATATAATTTTATTATGTTCTTTTTAGCTGACTGGACCCATAGTACAAATAGTGCTTTGTGTCCGTTTGACCTTTCATGTTTTAATACCGAACCACCTGAATAAAAGTTTAGGATAGTATCCTTGTTGGACACAAACTGTTTCAGAACCTTAATTTTATGTTTTCTTATAAACTCTGTCAAAAAGAAACGCAACCCCTGTCCTCAGATATGAAAAATTCGTTTGAATGAAGTTATTGCTTCCAAACTAAATTTTATTCGAATGTATTGAAATGATACACGTAATTAATGAAGATGACCATCCAAACAACTGCATTTGTACGCATAAGTGTATTTTATTGCTTATTCCGTCACAACGCATGAAATGACCCTCATGGTGACTTCGCACAAAAAACACATGCAAATCATGAAAATGGCAGTTAATGTAGGGGTGTATAAAAGCCCATGTGCTTCCGTATTATATTCATTCATTTGTCGCCGAAAAGCTGTGTTAAAAATGCCACGATTGAGTGCTGCCGACCGAAATATCGCCATTGGTCGTGTTCAAGCCGGAGAAAGTTTTGGAACTGTTGCACGGCACCTAAATGTTCACAAAACAACGATATCCCGACTTTGGAGCCGCTACAACAACTTCAATTTGACCAACGATCGCCCGAGAAGTGGAAGGCCAAGAATCACGACCCCTTCAAGATCGGTACATCCGGGTCCATCACCTGCGTAATCGGCATGCCCTACCAACCGTGACTGCCACACAAATACCAGGTTTGAGGAGAGTGTCAGCTCAAACGATTAGGAACCGTCTGAAAGAAGCGGGTTTACGTGCCTGTAGACCAGTTGTTGGACCTGTACTACGCCCCTACATCGACGCCGACGACTCAGGTGGTGCAACAACGTAAGGATACGGACTTTACAAAACTGGAGGCGAATCTGGTTTTCTGATGAATCACGTTTTCTTTGCAACGTCACGACGGAAGACAGCGTCTGTATAGGAGACGTCATAAACGTTTTGCGCCCATCTGCGTCCGACAGGTGGACAGATTTGGCGGAGAAAGCGTCATGGTTTGGGGAACCATCTCATACAACCAGAAATCAGACTTGGTGATCGTTCCAGGGAACCTGACAGCCCAACGTTACATCAACCACGTGTTAGAGCTTCACCTTCTCCCGATTATTGACCAACAGACACAGATTTTTCAACGGGACAACGCCCGGCCTCATACTGCACGTGCAACAATGAACTTTCTGCAGAATTCCAACGTCAATGTCTTGCCATGACCCTCTAAATCACCAGACCTCAACCCTATTGAACACCTGTGTGATACTCTGGATCGACGCGTACGTCAACGTCAGCCGCCGCCACAGACGCTGCAACAGCTCGCCGTTGCACTGCAGGAGGAGTGGAGAGCCATTCCCAGGAAAGAATCCGGCGTCTTATCCGTTCTTGTCCAAGGAGATGCCGTGCAGTGATTGCAGCGCGTGGTGCTCATACGAGATACTGAGAAAGACGCCCCCTGGTGACAAACTGGTGTCTGTGAGATGACTTTTGAAATGACAATTTTAAACATGCCCATCTGGGTTATTATTCTGCCAAATTTCAGACTTCTGTCTTAAATAATAAAAATGCCGTGTCGTCCTAAAACTTCAGATCAAAATCTCTAAAATACAGGGGTTGCGTTTCTTTTGACAGAGTTTAGTTATAATACGGAGGAATCGAAAAACTTTAATGAACTTTCAGACAGACTCAAACGTTGTGACATGTAAACATTAAAGGCTGGAGCTGTTGGAAACATGAAAGGAACGTTTACTATTGGGAAGTTGAAATCATCTCTTTTGTAATACAGCCGCGTTGACAGCTTTTGAATCTTTATACATAGATATGAAAATGTTGGGGTGGTCTGACTTGTTTCCTGTATTCCAACTTTAGGTGCAGGTAAATAAGTGAAAGGGAATGTGCCATTTGATGGTTATTGAACGATATTAGGAAACAGATCCGCAAGGAGGTTTTGTACTCTTGTCGTACGACGACAGCCTGGATCCTGAAAGAACCTAGCCAAATGGCATAAAGGATTTTCTTTCGAGTTTAAATTTCACATTATAAAAAAGCTTTTAAAAACAAATGTTTGTCTGTATGTCTGTATGTAGTCCTCTTCAACCAGAACACATGAAATCTTCAATGAAACAATTACGATATGATTAAACAGTTTGACAGTCGAGGGCAGTATATGTGTCTTCAGCGGGTTGGTTATGCGACATATGACACTGCGCCTGTTTTCTGTAGATGTCGCAATGGGCATGAGCTGGCTGGTGGCTGTGCAGGCGTTCGCCATCCTGGGATTCTTCAGCGGCGTCGTAGGCTGCGCCATGATCCTGCTACACGTGGCAACCGCGCCTCACAGGAGACGCCACAAGGTCATCAGTCTGTTCCTGACTTTAGCTGCAGGCATGTAACTTGAATACTTCACTCTTTAGAAAGAAAACCCAAACAGCAACACTCCAATTTGTTGCTCCCCTTGTTATTCTATAAATAAGGTTTATAATGTCGGTTCCGATTGGTTTCCGGGTCACAACAGAACCCTCAGGCTGCGTGCCATCTTACCGCAGCAGGAATCGTTGCTCATGCTCTGTGCCGGTCCTACATTAGATTACATACTCCGTATGGAACTGTAACGGCTAACTGTGCCTTAGTGTGCAGTTCTTTGCTTTGTACTCTGCCAATGCTCACTGGTCCTTTCGGGCTTTCCGCTGACAATAAATATCAACTGGATAAAAAGCTGCGTTAGAACCATATCAATGAATTTGTGTCATATGCAATATTTTCATTGTCCCCCTTCCCAGACGTACCCTTTAACCATGGTGAGTGGAGTGTTCTTGTTGCAGCTGGAATCACCCTGACTGGAATCATCATCTTTGGCATCAAATCAAAGGAAGAGGACATTCTGGTCGGTTATGACCTGAGTGGATCTTTCACGCTGACGCTTCTGAGCAGTATGCTGTACCTGGCAGCTGGTGTTGATTTGGCCGTTGATGTCGTCGCTGGATAAACACTTCCCAATCTGTACACATGGCTTCAAGCAAATCGCAGCTAGCTTTATGAATGGACATCGTGAACTGTGCTTCCCGACTTCAGGTACTCATACTAGGTCGGGCGGTCTTACAAATTATAAAGCATATCGTGTGTATGGTCATCAAGATACACGCGGTGGGCAGTCGGTTCCTGATACCCGCTTTCTGTCTCTCTATCCCGTTGACTGGCCGGTACTGATACACGCGGTGGGCAGTCGGTTCCTGGTGGCCGGTGCTGATACACGCGGTGGGCAGTCGGTTCCTGGTGGCCGGTGCTGATACACGCGGTGGGCAGTCGGTTCCTGGTGGCCGGTGCTGATACATGCGGTGGGCAGTCGGTTCCTGGTGGCCGGTGCTGATACATGCGGTGGGCAGTCGGTTCCTGGTGGCCGGTGCTGATACATGCGGTGGGCAGTCGGTTCCTGATGGCCGGTGCTGATACATGCGGTGGGCAGTCGGTTCCTGGTGGCCGGTGCTGATACGGCGGTGGGCAGTCAGTTCCTGGTGGCCGGTGCTGTTCCTGGTGGTTTCTGATGGCCGGTGCTGATACATGCGGTGGGCAGTCGGTTCCTGATGGCCGGGTGCTGATACATACACGCGGTGGGCAGTCGGTTCCTGGTGGCCGGTACTGATACACGCGGTGGGCAGTTGGTTCCTGATGATCGGCACTGATACGCGGTGGGCGCGGTGGGCAGATACACGCGGTGGGCAGTCGGTTCCTGGTGGCCGGTACTGATACATGCGGTGGGCAGTCGGTTCCTGGTGGCCGGTGCTGATACACGCGGTGGGCAGTCGGTTCCTGATGGCCGGTACTGATACACGCGGTGGGCAGATGGTTCCTGATGGCCGGTACGGTGATACACGCGGTGGGCAGTTGGTTCCTGATGATCGGCACTGACACACGCGGTGGGCAGTCGGTTCCTGGCCGGTGATGGCCGGCACTTCCTGGTGGTCATACATGCGGTGGGCAGTCGGTTCCTGATGGCCGGTGCTGACACACGCGGTGACTCGGTACTGACACATGCGGTGGGCAGTCGGTTCCTGGGGTGCTGACACAGTTCGGTTCCTGATGGCCGGTGCGGCAGTCTTCCTGGTGGCCGGTGATGACACATGCGGTGGGCAGTCGGTTCCTGGTGGCCGATGGCCGGTACGGTTCCTGATACTGACACGCGATGGCCGGTGGATACACGCGGAGTGGTTCCTGATGATCGGCACTGAAACACGCGGTGGGCAGTCGGTTCTGATGATACTGAAACACGCGGTGGGCAGGTTCCTGGTTCCGGTGATGGTGGCCAGTCGCTGGTGGCCGGTACATGCGGGTGGGCAGTCGGTTCCTGGTGGCCTACTGAAACGGTGGGCAATCGGTTCCCCGGTAAACAAATGTCTTATAGTGGAGGTTGCAGTCACTGACAAGTCTGTTTCCTGGAGATGACGTAACCTGACAAATGTCTGTGGAAGTTAGAGATGACGTAACCTGCGCCTTGTGCAATCTGCAATCGAGCCCGCCTGTTGCACGCTGGTCGTCAGATTGTGTATTGTCAGACAACAGCCCGGGGCTCGTGCAGCTGCTGCTACCGATTATCCAGCATCAAGTCTATCAATGGCTCGCTGATGTTGCTGATTTGTGAGTTGCAGCATACTCACTCCATCATTAAACTTGCAATTTTGATGCATTTGTCTGCTGAACAATGCTTGTGTGCTTGCATTCGATTGCACGTGCGAACGTTAAAGTGATAACGTGGTTGTTGTGTTTCAAGCCTTTTTATGATTTATAACCAAATTCTTCACTTCTATCATCAAGACGATGTTCAGCTTGTCAGTATGTCATTGATGGTTCAGCAAGAAGCTAAAAAGAATTACCGCAGTCGCAATTATTACCAAAAATGTGGGTGTCAAGTTTCTAATTTTGTTGAGTATGTGTTACATTTACGATATGGGAACATAATCTCAATATCACCTACAATCCACATCAGCTCTAGGTGTAAACGCAACTGTTGATCAGTGCGGTAGTCACCATGCAGGTTTTATACTAAATGCGTCAGTTACAGGGAGCGTGGCATACAGAAACTGTAGCAGTCCTAGACTGACTGACTGAGTTTGGTTTTACGCCGCTTTTAGCAATATTCCAGCAATATCACGGCCGGGGACACCAGAAATGGGCTTCACTCATTGTACCCATGTGGGGGATTCGAACCCGGGTCTTCGGCGTGACGAGCCAACACTTTAACCACTAGACTACCCCACCGCCCCAGCAGTCCTAGAAATCAGGATTGTTATTTATTCGCAAACGGTAGCTGAAACTTATAGGCGGGACTTTCAGATATGTGTCAACTGAATAAATTAAAAGGCAAGCATAACTGGTAAGGTTGATCATATTGAAATTCAATTAAACGCACTTTGAAGATTGTAATAGACCTATATTTCGTCAAAATTCTTGTGATTGATAAATCCAGTAAAATTTAAAATGTCAAGTCTAAATTCTGCCTTTCCTTTTCAGCCACGGTTGCGACTGTAAGGCAACATCAGGACGCCCTGGTGTAGAGTGAATGAGTGAGTTTAGTTTTACGCCGCTTTTAGCAATATTCCAGCAATATCACGGCGGGGGACACCAGTCATGGGCTTCACACATTGTGCCCATCTGGGGAATCGAACCCGGGTCTTCAGGGTGACGAGCGAACGCCTTAACCACTAGGCTACCACACCGCCACTCCTGGTGTAGAACGCCACACTCACCAACATCCCAATATACTGGTCGTATGGGGCGACCAAAGCGGTCGGGTGGTCAGGCTCGTACATCGCTGCTCACAATATCAATCATTGGATTGTCTGGTCCAGACTTGATTATACAAGCCACCGTCCGATACCTGGTATACACACAAGCGTGACAAAGTATGCGATTGATCGCTATCATAGTCCACATACAGCGTTTCTTCGACAAAAGCCCCTGTTGTTGAAACAAGACACGGATTAAGATTACAACACGACACTACACGAGGTGTGGATTTATTGCGACAATATTTCAACAGTCTTTGTGAGAGGTTTAAGGATGCTTAATGTTTCACAATTTGCTCACATGAGACATTTGTGTAGCCTCCCTTGTGTTGCGATAATTGGTTGTGGTGTTAGATGTTTCAACTCAGTGTAAAGTCTGACGATTACCGTAGCATAGCCATGCATCTACACAGCATATATACTACTCACACTTTACTGAAACGTAGATTCATAATTTGAAATTGTATCTATTTAAAACTGGATAAATCATAATATGGTAACCCCTCTTTAGGCAAACATTCACTTCAATCTAACCTTATGCACTTGATACATGAGTAACCATAAAAATGGTTTTCATGGTACCAGTCAGCCATTTTGCAAACCATGGAACGAGTCATTGACAAGTACACAACACCCGTCAATAGCAGGCATGGGTTCCACAAGATGCAATGACATACTGAAACCAGGATCCACTCTTACAATAAGCTTAGATATTTAAACCAAATTTGACCCACATCATAGTTTTCTGTTGAATCCATGATTTGATCCTTAGCAAAGTGTGAATAGTATACAAACACAATCATTGCTGACACTGCGTTATTGTCATACGTGTCTGTACTTTGCCATGTCACCTCATGTCTTTACATAGTATTCGCTGGCTTTCCGTAATCCCACTTTCTCCAGAACAGTAATCCTATCAGTCGGATTCTGTTACTTGTTCCTCCATGTATTTGTAAAGTTATCTATGGAACTGTTTCGTGTCGTCATGCTGCAGTATTGTTCCTGTTGTCGTCGTAGTCGTTATCGATGTCAAATGGTTGATGCATATCATCGTCACAAATATCGTAGATCGAAAATGATGATGTCAATCAGTTGATTGTCTGGTCCAGGCGCCTTTAGTGTAAGCCAAAAGGGTGATTAGCAAAGCGCGGCATTCACACTAGACCTTGATATCAGCTCCCCAGCGACATGCGGGTGGTCGAGAGCGTTCATCTGCACAACGGGAAGTCAGGTTTCTTATGATTACCGTAAGCGCCATCACTTCATGATTTCGACGACTTTAAACGTGGCCCGTGGAAGGCCAGGGCGTTAAATATTCTTCTCAGACAGTGCATATGCTCTGACGTCTCCGGCCTTGGCGGCTATGCATTGGCACCCCACTGACCAACATCACGGGTACGTTTTGATTGGGCTCAATATTACGTTAGCTGGTCACTGGACAAAACAGGAGTCGGCTCAAGTATCCTTTCACTGATGAATGGAGATACAGTCAAAATTTCACCCCCTCTGGGTCCGCCCCTGTAATCTATCAGCTACCAGCTTCTCTATTTCAGATATGATACAATACATAGTATTCAGGTCGCTTCGTGTAAATAAGGAAATATGACCCATACTACACCAAAGACAAGGCAATCTGATCCAACTGGCGACATAAACCCAAATCGGCATACATTCTTGCTATTGCGCAACTAGTCTTTCATTGGTTGACCACAGCTGCCAAATAGTCCACAATAGGCCACATATTAACTATTTCGACATCCCTATTGTACATATATTCCCGCCCATATACGCCGACACATACCGCCACTCACATCTGACTTGAGATATTCTCATAACCAGGAGACAACCGCCACTCACAGCTGACTTCTTCTATCCAGGAGACATGGGGTTTAGTGATGCATCCAAGTTTTCAAGAATTGCTTTCGGGTTGGCGGTAGGAGGATTTTTAACTGACATTATCGGGTTTCCCTCCCCCCTACTGGGTTACGGGAATGAATCTTTCTCAGGGTCTCTTCCAGACGTGTGCCCTTGGACAGTGTGCGTCGCTTCCATCTGGCCTGCGTAAGTAAACTGTAATCATTATACAATGTGAACGGAAATAGTACTTCAATAACTCATCGAACCATTCTAGATACTGTGTTTGACGTATTTGCAAATAACAGCTTATTTAGAAGCTTTCACAAATATAACAAAGTTTGGACAGTGATAAAATACTGATTTGCAGACATATTTTCGTTAAACAGGGAAACTTGATTCTTCAAAAGCACGTTTGGGTGACAGCGTATTTGACATCAAGACTTGTGTATTACTGTATCATTCAGCCGTGT